CGCCGAGAGAGCGGCGCGGGGCCCCCCGGAGGGGCGTCGGGGCCTCCAGCCCGGGCCCCGCTGCTCGGGGGCTCCGGGAGAAGCAGGGCGCCGAAGGTGAGCGAGCGGCCGGCGGCGGGAGGGAAGCCTTCGACGACTTTGCTTCAGCCGGGAGCTGCGTGGGGTGGTTGCGGCCAGGCCTGCCGCCGCTCGGGGGGCAGCTCGGGGGGCAGCTCGGAGGGCCGCGCCTGCGCCTGCGCCTGCGCCTGGCGGGCGTTCTTAAGCGTTCAGTACGCGGACGTCTTCCGACTTCGGTCGCGTGGCTCGTGCGTTTCTTTCTGGGTGTTCGAGTCTCGTGCGAGCTGGGTTTTTTGCTTGGGTCGTAAAAAAGAGATTTTGTGAGAGTAGTAAGTGGGTTTGTGGGTGTCACAGTTGGGTCTTAAAACTAGTCTCACTTGGTGTGTTTAAGGAGCGTCTATGCAGTGCTCACCCACCCGGGGGGCTTTTAAGTTAGTCTTCTTCCTATTTTGGTGGAGGTTTTCAGTGAGTACCGAGCTGCCAGGAAGGAGATGGCAGGCTCGCCAGGGTGCGTGGGGGCCCCTTCGTGTCTGTGCCCGTGTGGAGGTCCACACTTGAGCTGGGATCAGCCCGGGTGAGATGGGCAGGGGAGGTGAGCGTCTGGCAGAAGGCAGGGTTACGCAAAGGCCCTGAGGCAGCAGTGAGCTTCGGTGTGCAGGAACAGAGCTTATGTGGCTAAGGTAGAGCCAGTGATAGGAATTGAGGTTGGGGGCAGGTGAGTGCCAGGTCATGGATGGCTCTGCAGGCGCACCTTGGGTGTGGGTGTTATCCTAGGTGTGGGAGGAAGCCCCCCAGGGTGGTTCTCCTCAGGGGAGTGTCACTTTCTGGTGTGCGTTTCTTAATTCCTTTAAAAGTTGTGTGGACAGTGGGGGGACGGGAGAAGCTGGGAAATAGGGTAGTCGGCCTGCCTTGCTGTGGTCTCTTCAGCTTGAGTACCTGAGTCCTTTGTTTCTGCGGGTCTTGCTCCCCTAGCCCCACGGACCCCGGAGTATTCACTTGGTCCCTCTTTACGGTAGGTCCAGCCTTTCCTGCCGTCGTGGTTGGCTGAGCCGAGCTGCGTTGGAAAGAGTGTCACTGAAGATTTGGTGCCTATCGAGGACATCCCTGAAGTCCACCCTGACATGCAGAAGAAACTGCGGGCTCATGGCATATCATCCTACTTCCCAGGTGCGGAGGGGGGGGGGACTGGCACTCTTTCAAGAGCCTTCTCACCGAGAGCCACACGAGGCCACAGTGTAGCAGCTGTGAACACAGGCCCCTGGGCATGTCCAGCACCAAGTGCCATCTGGGTTTTTGACATCTTTGGCCGCCTAGAGGCTCTGGTGCCATCGTTGAGCGAGAACAGCCTGGTCTAGAAGTTGGAGGTGAAGGGTAAGGTTACTTTGGACTCCAGTGCCTGTGCTGATTCTGGGTGTTCCCGCGCAGATATGACCTGTGTCTCGTCCTTCTTTGTCCAGTCCAGGCAGCAGTGATTCCTGCTCTCCTGGAGAGCACGGCCAACGGGTTTCTCGTGGCCAGAGGTGGCTACCGGCCCAGTGACCTTTGTGTCTCTGCCCCAACGGGCAGTGGGAAGACTTTGGCCTTTGTCATTCCGGTGGTACAGGTGAGTATAAGGACCCCCACCCTCCAGGTGGGCTCTGCAGGCAGGGAGCCGGCTCTGCTGACTTGGGTGGTTGTCGTGTTCCCCACCCCCCAGGCCTTATTACATCGAGCTGTTTGCCAGGTCCGTGCTTTGGTTGTGCTGCCCACCAAGGAGCTGGCCCAGCAGGTACGTGCACCCCACGTCCCCAGGTCAGACCTAGGCTCTGTTTCGCTGTGGTGCTCTGTACCAGGTTGGTGACGGCCGCTCCTTCTCCAGGTGAGCAAAGTGTTCAACATCTACACAGATGCCACTCCTTTGCGTGTCGCCCTGATCACTGGGCAGAAGTCGTTGATCAAGGAGCAGGAGAGTCTTGTCCAGAAGACGTAGGTCCTGCGGGGCTGGGGGCTCCTCAGGGAATAGGGAGTGGCTCTCTGAACCCTGTCTGCAGGTTCCCTGTGGTATGGGGGGGTCGGCGTGGGGTCTTTTGCTGAGCCACTCCGCTCCTCAGAGCAGACGGCTTCCGCTGCTTGGCTGACGTGGTGGTGGCCACTCCTGGCCGCCTGGTGGACCACATCGACCAGACCCCAGGATTCAGCCTCCAGCACCTCCGCTTCCTGGTAAATCCCACCCCTGGAGGATGGCTGGGGTTTGGAGCCAATGCAGACCTCGGCCACCAGACACCAGGCTTCTCGCTTCCACTAGGTCATCGATGAGGCCGACCGCATGGTAGACAGCATGCACCAGTCCTGGCTGCCCCGGGTGGTGGAGGCGGCCTTCCCGAGGGACGGGGCCAAGGAGCCCTTCGCTCTGCTCCGGAGGCGGCAACCCCGGGCCACGACGGCCGCCAGGTACCTGACACTGAGCCTGCCCTGCACTCGGTGTGGCCGCCTGCGGACAGCCCCGTCGTGCTTCCCCTCTGGCTCTGAGACCCCTCGGCCCCAGTCTGGTCTGGTCTGTTCTGGGGTGGCCGGGGCTCTGCAGGTCGGCTAGCTAGACCAAGACTGCTGTCCCATCACCCGCTCCCCTTTCAGTATTTCTTGTCCTCAGATGCCACTGCAGAAGCTGCTCTTTTCGGCCACCCTGACGCAGAATCCTGAGAAGCTGCAGCAGCTGGGCCTCTACCAGCCCCGGCTCTTCTCCACGGGGCTGACATACAAGGGCCCCAGAGACACTGACGAAGACGGGGACTCCGGCGGGAAGTACACCTTCCCCACAGGGCTCTCGGTGAGCGGGCGTGCAGGGGCGGGGAGGGGGTGCCTCAGGCGCTTGGGGCCTGGCCGACCCTGTGCTGTCCCCACAGCACCACTACGTGCCCTGCAGCCTCCGCACTAAGCCACTGGCCATCCTGCATCTGATCCTGGAGAAGAATTTCTCCAGGGTCCTCTGCTTCACCAACTCCCGCGAGAACTCACACAGGTGAGGCCCAAGTGGGTGGAGGGGGAGGAGAGGGGAACAGGGTGGGGGTAGGCTCCAGGCCCTGCCCACCCGGCTCCTTCCGGCTTTTCCCACCCAGGCTCTTCCTGCTCGTCCAGGCTTTCGGAGGCGTGAGCGCGGCTGAATTCTCCTCCCGCTGCGGGCCCGGCCAGAGGAAGGCGGTCTTGAAGCAGTTTGAGCAGGGCAAGGTTCAGCTGTGAGTACCTGCAACGGGGGAGGGGAATGCTCCCGCCAGGTACCAGCCTGGGCCCTCTGAGGGCGTTTTCCTGCGGGAGACTCGCCTCTTCAGTGTGGTGGCTTCCCCAGCAGGGCCGGGCGGGGGGCGGAGGGGGGCTTCCGGCCTCGGGCAGGGCCCACAGCCCCTGGTGCTCCCCAGCCTCATCAGCACAGACGCCACCGCTCGAGGCATTGACGTGCAGGGCGTGCAGCTGGTCGTCAACTATGACGCCCCCCAGTACCTGCGTACCTACGTCCATCGGTAAGGCCATCCCGCGCTCTTGGAGGGAGGGTCCCTGGAGGGAAGCCCTGTCCCATTGGGCCCCTGGGGGCCACCGTCCTGGAGGTAGCTGTGCTTGGTTTCAGGGTCGGAAGAACCGCCCGCGCTGGAAAAACTGGACAGGCCTTCACGCTGCTCCTCAAAGTGCAGGTGCGTCTGCTGGAGTCAACCCAGGGCCGGGACCCCTGCCAGCAGCACCGCTCGCGGAAAACAGGGTCCCTTCCCGCTTGCTTCCCCGCAGGAGAGGAGGTTCCTCCGCATGCTAGCCGAAGCCGGGGTGCCGGAGACGGCGCGGCACGACCTCCCCGGCGAGCTCCTGCAGCCGCTGGTCCCGCGGTACGAGGCGGCCTTGTTCCAGCTGGAGCAGGCCATCAGGGTGAGGGGCCGAGGCATTCTGGAGACCCACGTCTGGTGTCTGGGAAGACCGGACAACGTGTGCAGGAAGGGGAGAGGGTGGCAGGGCGGGAAGGGGGCGCACGGCCCTGGGAGGGGGCCAGGGCCAGATCTGCACTTCCTGAGCGGGTGCCGGGTGCTGCCGCTTGGGGGGAGGCGGCAGGTGGCGCCACGTGAGCCTCTGGCCTCCCTTCCGCAGGAAGAGCGAAGGCAGAAGGCACCCTGATGGGCTCAGGGGACAGGCGGGCTGAGCCCACCACAGAGCAGACCCTTCTCAGCCCGTGCCTCCTTCTGGGCCTAGCCACCTCCTTTCCGGAAGAATCTTGAGCAGTGGCTGCTGGATACGTGAGCAAAAGACCCGATTCCTTGGGTTTCGGAAGGAACAGCCAGCGGAAAGGGCCTCCTCCTGCCAGGCTCTGGACATGGTCGCTGCAGCAGGCCTGGCGCCAGGCAAGCTCAGGCCCGGGGGAAGCCGCTCAGGTTACTACAGACCTGATGGGGCAGCGTCTGGGGCGTAGCCTTGGGCCCGTTAGGGGACCCTGGGTGTCCTCAGGACGTCTGCCGCCCTCCGTCCTGCACATCGTGAGCCGTTCCGGGCGCCGTCACAGTGCGAAGTGTCTCCGCCCACACGGCATGGGCACAGCCCCGACCGCGCAGCGGGGGTCTCCACACGGGGCCGAGGCCAACCTCAGTGCACGCCAGGACTTGCGTCGGGAGCGTAACAGAAAACAGGCTTCAGGAGCGCTGACCCGCTGTTGGCGTAAAGGTTTTGTTTTCAGAATCATATGCTGTTATTAAAACAAACTTTAAAAAACCACATCAGGCTAGGGTTTTTCTGTCTGTCCTAAAAGCGTGCTCTTCGCTGCAGCCGGGTAACACTGGGGAACCCGGCCGCGTGGTTGCTCATGGGGCCGCGGGAGGGTATAGGAAACAGGTACAAGCTTCTTTCTTAGGGACGGAAACCAGCTTCTCCATACACGGGGGCCGCGCACGGCCCACCTGGCTGGAGCCAGGAACACAAAGGTGGAGGAGCCCCAGGACAGGGACAGGGCGGGGTGGCCTGGGAGCTGCATGGGACCCCCTTCCCGCCCCCTCGCTGGGGCCTTGCTGGCCCCTGGAGCCTGGCCGGCTCGACGTCTGTGGGGGCGGCTCCGCCACGGAGACACCGAACTGCCTGTGCCAGGGACGTCCCCCCGACTCCCGGGAAACCGAGGCCAGGCTGACCGGGAGGGCCTGTCTCCCACTGGCACGCTCTCCCTCTCTACGCAGCGAGGTGTGTGCTTACTAGTTTCTTGTGTCACTGGTTGCCTTGGCGCATGTGTGATGACGAATCGGTGCTGGGCACGGGGAGACACGGATACAACACGCTCCGGCTCAGAAACACGGATACCAGACACAGATGCGCGCGCATGGGCAGCTCGCACGCCTGCTCCCACTTCCGGTCTCGGCGACGGGTTTCCAGCCGGACGGCTAATCTCTACCCCGTGTTGCTTCGTTGTTTTATTTATTTATTTGGCCTCCTGAGTCCGTTGTGTTTATTGCAATTGTACCTACATCTTCTCTCGGTCTGCAGGGAAATAACGATCCTGGTCAACGCGAGTCCTTCATATACTTGATCATCATTAATATACTTTTTTCTTTTCTCCATTCTATATTTTAACATTTCAGGAATTTTTAAAATGTCTATTTAAATTCAATTAATTAACATATAGTGTATTATTAGTTTCAGAGGTAGAGGTCAGCGATTCATCAGTTGCATAGAACACCCAGTGCTCATTCCATCACACGCCCTCCTTCATGCCCATCCCCCAGTGACCCCAGCCCCCTGCCCACCTCCCCTCCAGCAAGCCTCAGCTTCCTAGAGTTAAGAGTCTCTTACGGTTTGTCTCCCTTCTGATTTTGTCTTATTTTTCCTTCCCATCTTCTATGTTCATCTGTTTTGTTTCTTAAATTCCGCATATCAGTGAGATCATACAATTTTTGTCTTTCTCTGACTTACTTCACTCAGCATAATACCCTCTAGTTCCATCCGTATCCTTGCAAAAGGCAAGATTTCACTTTTTGATGGCTGCATAATATTCCATTGTACACATGAACCACATCTTTATCCATCATCTGTCGATGGACATCTGGGCTCTTTCCACAGTTTGGCTATTGTGGACATTGCTGCTATAAACATCAGGGTGTGCGTACCCTTTGGATCCCTACTTTTGTATCTGTGGGTATGTTTCATTGTTTTAAATAACCTACTCGCCAGGTGACAGTCACATTCCTTCCTCCTCAAACGGGCAATCCTCAAGTGCAGTCTTAGCAGTATTTACAGATAACGGACACAAACACATTCGCGCTTTCCAAGCTGAGGACCAAAAGCACCAGTTCACTGGTCCCGCACGGTGTTCTCGAGCGTCACCTGTCCAGCATCTTCCCCAAAGCCTGATGGTGGAAAGATGACGTTTTGACACATCCACGTTGCTCAGCCACCTGCTTCTCAACGTTAGGTTTGGATCTCTGTAAATCATGATGTTCGTCGTCATTAACCTGGGACCTGTTATGCTTCAGGTGATAGGATAATGAGATCTGTGCTCTCAGAACAAGTGTGGATTCGTAGGTCCGTCGTGGCGTCCCACGGGCTCATGGACACTGAGCGTTCTCAACCATCACTGTGGACTTAAACACGGTGCCCATGTAAGTGCCACTCCTCCCTGCGTCCACACTCACTCAGTGGCCCGGATGAACCAGTGTTCTCCCACAGAGGGCGTCTTCGCGAACCCCTCCCGGACCAGAAAACACCCAACCAGCAGATGTCCCTTGATCTCCGTGAGGCCACATCTTGCCATCAAATGTTCCTGCAGGAAACGGGGTAAACGCACCTGTGACAACTGAAGTTTGGGTTTCTCAGATGTGTGGACGCTGACCCAGTGGACCCCGGTGCCAGTGAGTGAGGCGGAAACAGGGAGGAAGACCTGTCCTCCTCTACTCTTTCGGCTACGGCCAGGTACTTAGTGATGGGGGAAGGTGGAGCGATACCAGCGGACGTTGGGGAAATCAGTGCACAGTGTGAGCGACCTGCTGACTACAGCAGTGTGAAGTCTCCTCGAGACCTCAGGGACAGCGACGCCCTTGGTGCAGCCCAATCACGAGTTTGCGGCAGGAGTCCTAGTCCTCGTGGCTGCTTCCACCAGGAGCCCAAGAGGGCCTGGAGCCCCGCGGTGTGAGTGAGTTGTGCAGGCCCCTGGGTCGGGCAGCCACTGCTGGCTGCGTCTCCGCGTCCGCGTCTCTGCGTCCATGGCCCTCAGGCGAGCCCACGCTTGCCGTCCCTGGAGCCTCTTGTTGTGAAAGGCCAATGACCTGCACGAGGTCTGCATCTGCGGGGGCTGCTTGTGACCCCGCTGCCCGGCCCTGCGCCCGCGCCCCCAGGGAGGCTACGCCGCGGCCGTGGTTGGAGGGGCTCCCCAACCCTTCAGAGCAGGGCTCCATTTCTGCCCCGAGCTCACGCTGTCCGTCTGCGTCGTGAGCAAACAGCCTGCGAGAAACACGTCAAACTGGAGATAAGAGTCAAAACCTCCCCGAGCGCCCATCCGTCCGAAGCCTGCAAACTTGCAGGCGCTAAAAGCACAAGGTCGAGCGTGTCATTTTCTGGAACGTCCTCGGTCACTGTGATTTGTCACTCCCAACGCCACGGAAGCACACACAGCCCCATGTTACACATTCCTTCCACGCTCTCTCTCATCTGTGAAGGTCGCTATCCCGGGCAGCGGTCCTCACCTGGGCTCGAATCAACGCTCGTCCTTGTTTTTAAGACACCCTGGAAGGTTTGCTCATTTTGTGTCGACGCGGTGGTCCGGGAAACGTGTGACCGTTCTCAGGAGGCACTCGGGGGCTCCGGACGAGGACCTCCTCTGAGCGCAAACTTGGAATGCTCACGGGATTCGAAAACCGAGTGTGTGCACACATGTCCGGAGCAGGTCTCCCAAAACACCCCTCGTCCTGCAGGCCCCACGGTCCCTACAGCAAACGCTCACGGAAGTGGAAACACTCGGAAATGCTCCTGCACCTCTTTCAACATTGAGTCTTTTGATAATTTTCTTTGGGTTTAAACAGATCTGTTACTCATCTAAAGGTATTTTTATTTACTTTCATACTTGTACCTTCCTTAACCACAAACATGTAAGTCTCCTTCTGTTAAACATTTCCTCAAATTTGTCTCTTTGATTAAATTTTAAAACCCTTCAATAAAGCAGGTCAAATCTTGGGATGACAAACACTGGTCTGCTAAAGCCCGTAGGACAGAAGCACATCCAGCCTTCCAGCCGCGGGCCGCACTTCCATGGAATAACGGTACGACGAATTCCAACGTAACCTCACAACCCAGACCGGCCCTCGGCTTCAAACCAGGATGGTGCGCCCGAGTCCATGTTCACGCTGCTTCCCCTGGGCCGGTTCTCCAAGGAAGCCGCGAAACCAGCCTCTTCATAATTCCACGCGTTCTTCAGACCAGTTTACCTTCGCTTAACCACCAAAATGTCAGTGAGTAGTTACTGGGTACACCCCTGAAGGGTTAACTAAGAATTAAAGACAAATTACGTGCCCAACTTTCTTTCACAGACTCCTCTGCCCTAGAGGAACCTCCTAAGGCATTTTTAATTTCTGCTTAAGGTTACAAATTCTTAGGGCAGATGCCAGCCAATTTTCGGGTAACTGTGATAAAAGACTCCTGAAAAACAACAAAACCTAGCAAGATGGGGAGTGCTCACAGGCCGTGCTCCAAACCACCCGGCCGCAGACCTTACAGGCTGCTGGGGGCTAACGGCGTGCCTCCGGCGGGCCGCGCACACATCTGCGGTGGCTGCTGTTGAACCAGACTCAGGTGAGCCGGGCCAGGTGGGAAGACACACTGCGCGCAGCCCTCGGAGAGGGAGGGTGCCACCCAGCGTCCGCCTGCCCGCTGTCCTTGGTCCCCGCCCCTCGGGCGCCGGGCACGGCCCACACCCCCCACCCACGCACCGCGGAGGAAGACGGACGATCAGGGGAAGCATGAGGCTCCGCCGCACAACCAGCCCAAGGCTCGCGGTTCTTCTAAGGCGCACACGGAATCGTCGCTAATGCTAGGTCCCAAGCCATAGAACAAAGAAAAAATTTTAAAATTGAGATCTGTGGGGCGCCTGGGTGGCTCAGTCGTTGAGCGTCTGCCTTCGGCTCAGGTCCTGGGATCGAGCCCCGCATCGGGCTCCCTGCTCAACGGGAGGCCTGCTTCTCCCTCTCCCACTCCCCCTGCTTGTGTGCCCTCTCTCGCTGTGTCTCTCTGTCAAATAAATAAATAAAATCTTAAAAATAAATAAATAAAATTGAGATCTGTTTTGATCATAACGAATAGATATCTGGAACACCCCTCAAATACTTGAAAGTAAGCGTTAAATAAAATCTTTAAAGCGCGTAAAACCTTTGACAGAAATTCCATGTACACACAGTGTCTCAGAACAGACAAGGGGTCATAGTTCGACACCTTCAAGAGACGCACAAAGCCTCCGAGACTGTGAAACCCCAGATTACTCTGCCAAACGCATCTTTTCTCATGTTGAAATCTGGATAAAAGCGACGTCGATCTGTAGCGTCCGCAAGCTGATTCATTCTGTCACTCGTCCGTAGGAGCGATGTTACAACAATCCCCTCAGAGTACACACTCCTTCCCGTCATCCTTTATTGTGCAGACATTTCCGTTTTCCTAAATACAGGGCAGGGCACATCCGTGTATCCAGAGTCCAGTGAGACGTTAGACGTTGTTCAGTGCCGAGTCGCGCAGCCGGCTCTCCCGGCTGA